ATCGGGATGACGATGGCATAGAACACAGATGCTATTTTGTCTGTGTCCATGGAGTGACTGGAGCTGGGCTGTAGGTACATGAAGGTGATTATCCCATAGAGGATGGAGACTGCAGTGAGGTGGGAAGCACAGGTGGAAAAGGCCTTCTGGCGTCCCTCAGATGAGCGCATCCTCAGGATCATAGCAAACACTAATATATAAGAAGTCAATATTACCATGAGAGAAAAGAGTGTATTGAAGGCTACTACAAAATAAATAACTAGCTCCGTGATGTATCTGTCAGAGCATGAGAGGGGCAAAAGCGAAGGAGCATCACAGAAAAAGTGGTCAATCACATTGGACCTACAAAAGGAGAGCCTGAAAATGTTTCCAGTGTGGATGGAAACATCCAAGAAAGCAATGACATAAGAGCCTAAGCTCAGAGCAGCACACACATTTGTTGTCATTGTGGTAGTGTAATAGAGCGGTTTACACACAGCTGCGTAGCGATCATAAGCCATTACAACCAAGAGGTTACTTTCTGCAATGGCAAAAGCTCCAAAAAAGAAGAATTGAGTGGCACAATGATTATAGGAGATGACGTTGTCTCCTGTGAGAAGCCCTGCCATGACCTTGGGAGTGACAGCTGAGGAGTAACCAAAGTCAGCCAGAGAGAGGTTGCTGAGGAAAAAGTACATGGGAGTGTGGAGACGAGCGTCCAGCAGGATCAGCAGGATCATCCCTAGGTTTCCAACCAGAGCGATGAGGTAGATGAGGAAAAAAAGTAGGAAGAACAGAATCTGCAGTGTGGGATTATTGGTTAATCCCACAAGAATGAACTCAGTCACCTCTGAATTGTTCTCCATTGGAAACACTGGGGAATCTTGTGGCTGTCCTGTAGAAATGAGAAACAGGATCGGAGTGACAGAGGATAGAACATTACTGTTATCAATGAGATGTCTGCCTCTAAGTTTAGCATTTCCTTGATTGCTTCCAGGATTCTCTAGATGTAACACATTGCCCTTAAAAAACTTCTATGTTTAGTAATTTCTGGAATGATATTGTGCTCCAATTATGGAATTTCTAAACATAAAATGTAGAGAAGGAAAATTTGCTTTTCAAGATCACAAGATTAGCTACCAACCAGAATGTGACAGGATCCTCATTCAGATTTTCTAATATTGACACAAATTATTGCAATTCATTAAAATAGTTGAGCTCAATTGACCTGGTGTGAAATTCAATTTCTTTTACTTCAACTCTCAATTTTCTGTCATTTGCATGTTGTCAAGAATAGTTTTACATGAAAGTCAGTTAAGTAAGAGATTACTTTTTTTCTTTTTTCCCCCTTTTTATTAATCATTTCATTGGGGGCTCTTACTGATCTTTTAACAATACATACATCAAGTGTATCAAGTACCTTTGCACATATGTTGGCATCATCATTTTTGAAATATTTTCTTTCTGTTTGAGCCTTCCTCTTTTTCCCTCACCCCTACCCTTCTACTCTCAATAAAGTATATTTTTATCCTAAATAATATCGCTGTGTAGTAAGTACCCAGAATGTGTGAAACCAAATCCCAAATCAAACCCACGGCCATAGAGGTGACTCTTACTCATAGTAACCCTCTTTAGGAGTTACAAAGCTATATATCACACAGAGACAGATATTGTCATCTCTCTCCTACAGTCTAGGAACCCTGGTGGTCTTGTAGTTATTCATTGGATGGCTAAACATAATGTCATCCATTAGAAACCACTAGAAAATATGAGGGAGAAAGATTAGACTTTTTACTCATGTAAAGAGTAAGTGGAGGAAGGAAGTGGTGAGCAAAGAACACCATAGACAGGGTAGTAACTAGGGAATTAAAATCAACAGCAAGGAGGAAGTGGAGATCCTGGGGTCCTGGAACAACAGCATTCTAGCTGAGAGGAATTACTAAGAGTCAGAAGATGGGTGAGAGTGATGGTGGAGCAGGAAGAAGATAACCGGAAACAGAGGAAAGATGTAGGAAGCAAAGCTATGGATAGAGGTATAAACATAGGTGTGTATATATGTAAATATATTAATTCATAAAATAGAGGTATCGGCGTATGACATATATTTATATAGTAATACACTGAGTTAGTGGACAGACTTTGAGCCTCTGCTCCATGTGAGAACACCTTTTTTAACAAGTGGCACTCTGATGCTTACTCTCCTGGCAGGATTGCTGAAGACCAAATGGGTGCATAAGCAAATGTGGTGAAGAAAGCAGATGGTGCTTGGC